ATCTCCGAGACTTATAGTTCACAAAAAAATAACTCTTGCACGCCTTGCGTGCCTATGTTTTAAAAAACAAACGTGTCAAGTTACTATTTGTAACTTAAGATAGCAAACATCTCGTGGGAATAAGTGGTGACGATTCTTCAGCTCTAATTGAATTTACTCCCTTGTGAAAAACAAGAATGTCAAATTACCCTTTGTAACTAAAAAATAAAAATATCTCGTTATATTTGCATGCAACAAGAACAAAACAATCGTTACCAGTGCACTTACTATTGTAAACCTTAGAACTGTTTCAAATCTAAATAGTGTCGCCTCCCCTAAAACATGTTCTTAGAACTAGAAGCGACGATTCATGACCTCTAATTGAATTTGCTCCTTCTGAAAAACAAAAGTATCAAGCTACCTTTGTAACTAAAAATAAAAATATCTCAAACCATTTGCATACTACTAACTCATGAACTGTTTCACAACGTAAGGCTCACCTCGTTCATTACTAGTCACCATTACACTGAACATTATGCACTCTAAAACAACCCAATGTGTGTATGTAACTGTCACACACTGCTCCAAACCGGACTAAAAATCACAAACCGGCAACATGCACGTCAGTCTTTATTAGTTGGGATGGTTTGGGATTCTGCCTGCCACTAAGACACTATTTCGCTATGCGCTAAGGTGTAAACTTTAATGTTTGTTTAATTAATTTTAAATTTCAATTAATCAATTAGTCTAGAGACAAGGAGATGGTGGTGTTGAGGTGGGAAGGTACACGTGTACCCTACGTAAAACATGTACATCTACGTCAGTTAGGAGTAAACATCATCAAGCTCAATATATATGTGTCAAGTAACCTCTTGCTCACCTTGTGGTGCTATTCTCTTTAGAACAAAACCAATTTGCTGATCTAAACGCGTGCACAAATTAGTTAGCGTCCGTGTCGTCTATACATTAGGTGGAGGATACATTCCATACGGGATAACACACAAATGCTGAGTGGTTTTCCTTATGGCAGAACCCAGCATGTAAGAGGCATGCGTTCTGGCATCGTAAGTGTTATAGAGGAGCTCCTGCGTGCCGAAGGCGTGCGAGCGGAGCCCCATACCTTAGAAAATTTGATAACCCATCGATCTGAAAAATTTTGGTTGTCACGTGACTGTCCGTACGTACGTACCTTCGTACGTATGTACATCCGTCCGTACGTACATCCGTCCGTACGCCAATACCTTGAAAACTAAGAGAGTAGCACATTACCAAAGCTACATCTTTGATTTTGGACGTCCACGCTATCGTTAAGTAACAGCTGGCACAAGATGCTATCCTCTGACCAGTACCACGTGACTATATCGCGGGCTCAGATTTAGAGCTCATCGAAGTTGCGTGCTTTTTCAAAGTTGACCGCTGACCAGACACTGGTTTACCGATTGGATCGCGGGCTCAAGTCGCGTTATTTCTCTGGGGACAAGGAAGAAGTACTCGCAAAGGCAAAATTGCGGCGCAAATTAACCCCTGGCGCGTTGTTGACTTTTCCTCTGACATATTCCTTGTACAATCGTCTCTTGGAAAGTCCCTGATATATTGCGTCCGTAATTTCTACAATCTTGGTTAGGCTTGTTAGGTATAGTTTGTTAAAATTTAACTGGAAAAAATAGCAAAACCACACGCTGAACAATTACATGTTCACAACTGATCAGTTTTTGAGTTTCTGATCCCAGAAAAAATAATTCTCTTTTTCCTTTATCGTCAGTTATTGCAATCAGGAGCTGTGCTTTTAGGCTTGGCTAAATCTATATATTAATTTTGAATTGTTTTATTGTTAACAACAAAGGTGGCAACAGAAAAAGCCAGTAGTATTCCGTGACTATCTGATAATTAAATTAGTTCTTGTTCATCCGTGATAAGAAAATTTGCGCTTTGAGAAAAAACAAAATCGTTTATCTTCCATTTGTTCGTCAGATATTTAACTTTCTTTCATTTATCCCCTAAAAACAAGCTCATCTTCCCTGTGTTTTGGAGAAAACAAGAGTTTCATGTTACATACCTTTGCGAGGAAAAAAAAGTATCAAGTTACAAAGTTGGCGCAAAGAGCTAAATTGTCACGTTTCTCCAACGTGTTATTGAATTTAAAATGAACAAAAATTTAACACACCAGAGTAAAATTTAAAAGCTGTCGTGACAAAAAGTAATTGTACGTAATTTTTGGACCTTGAATGAAAATACAACCTTGAAACGTACACACTGCTAAGGGGAAAAGCCCTAGCAGACTACCAAGGTAGATACAAACCGGAAGTGAACCGAGCAGGCGTGAATACTTATGGGACTACTGTGCCAGAGCTATCAATTGCACTCTGCACTATCTGAGATTGTCTCACTAGTTTTTCAATTACCAAAGTCCTTGTGTTTAATACACCAAAACGCTCAAGACTTCATATACCTCACTTAAGGTATCTTGAACAAATAATTTCCTTTTTCTTCAACTACAATTCGTGCTGGTTATTAATGTGAATAAGCGAAAACCCTGATAACATTGAAGAGAAAAGATTTAGTTTCATTAAGACGTATCTTCTCATTCCAGTAGTAAACAATAACCATTATAATTGTGAAATCGTCACAGAATAATATCTTTTAGTTCTGTTGACCAAATTAATCGTAGTCTCTTCGCTTTTCACATTGAAACTTATCAATGGATGCTGAAATTAACGACATGCCCGGAACACTCATTACGAACTCTGCAGCAATATCTAGGTTTCAATACAACACGCAAACGATTTGAACCTGGTCACAACCTCTTCACATTCCCAATAGTGCATTCCGCCCCCCTAAAATACAATTGATCCTATCAAAAAAACCACATCAACTTGTTTTTCATTCACATGTTAAACCTAGTAGTAGAGCGGCTCAAACACTCAATTCAAAAACTTATCTAATGGGAAAAGCCCACCCTTCATCGCATGCTCGTAGTTATATGCCAAACACTGACTGATTATCCAGTTGCAAATGATTATCAAACCCGCCCACAAAATCCTCAGCCTAACCCACAGAAAATGTCGAAGTAAGCCCAATGTATGAATACTTCCTCCTGTTTTATAGAAGAATAAATATGGCCGTTCTGAACTGTATCGGGATCAAAACTTCTCGCATACCATTTACCTTTACAACAAGAAATTTGATTGGAAGACTTTTTGTAGTTGACGAGTGCCACAGCATGTATAAACACCTTGGGAATAAATTCTCTGCNTTGACCCGTCCATAACATACCCTGACGCGCCCACCAAGAGGTAATTTTTTTTACAAAAAAATAACACAAAAATGAACAGAAAATCAATGTGGAAAGTGAAAAAAATTTCAAGATTTCTGTCCACGGGACATCGAATCCTGCCATCTTACGGCTGCAAGGCGCGTGAAACTATGGTCGCTAAATGCGAAGTTACTCTTTAAGGAACCTCACCAGTTGTCTAAATTCACTCATGATCAATAGGTCCACTTAAACAATATTTGGCAGAGAGCATTTCACTTCAGAGATCTAACTGCAATATTTTTGGGCTTACAGACTCTGTGGCCTTATTCGCTAACGAAGCCCGATTTTTAGTGCAGAGTGCACTATCGGGATGGTTTGGGGGTTGACGTCGCTAAAGTACTATGGCACTATGGTATTATGGAAAATGGGTCGTGCATGTGGTGCATACCTGCCAACTCTCCCGGTTTTCCCGGGAGTCTCCAAGTTTTTCATCAAATCTCCCGGTCTCCCGGTTAG